CCACGTTAAATCTTTGTGTCTTTTGGTATATTTCTCGTTGTCTTCTTACTCGTGGTCTTTCGAGGTTTACTTTGCTAGCTTCCGCATTTACACCTGCTTATTTCCGGTCCTAACAAGTGGTATCAGAGCCAGATTCAATGATGGAGTCAGGTGTAGTGGTTCGATAATCGATGATTGAACCAAGTTAGAAAGAGGTGTTCATCTTGACGGGTGTAGTTCTAGCCGCAACCTTTTTGACAGTAATGAAGATTTTGTTGGAGAAATTGTTTCAGAGAGGTTCTCTGTGTTAAGACATAAATTTTGTAAAGGAGATTATGGAGAGGAGAAGCAAGTTGTTGAAGATTAAGTAAAGAAGGTGGACAAATTTATTTTGTCAGAAATTCAGGCCAAGGGGGAGATTTGTTGGGTTTTATTTGCCCTGATTTCTTACCATAAATAGGTTTTCCTTTTAGGAAAAGGTTTTGAATTGACTATTCTTTTTTTGGTAGGAAAAGGTTTAGGACTCTATAAATAGAGGCATGTTCCTTCTAACTTAATTAGCATTCACAATGTAGTTTTAAGGGCTTTGAGAGTTTTGGTTAGAGGGAGAATTTGTGAACCTCTCATGTATTCCGAGTGAATTGGTTGAGGTTGTTTCCCTCTGTATTTTGTACTCTCATGTTTATAGTGGATTGCTCATCTCCTTTGTGGACGTAGGTCGATTGACCGAACCACGTTAAATCTTTGTGTCTTTTGGTATATTTCTCGTTGTCTTCTTACTCGTGGTCTTTCGAGGTTTGCTTTGCTAGCTTCCGCATTTACACCTGCTTATTTCTGGTCCTAACATCTTCACCCACTCCATCTGACAATTCATCAAGTATATCGAGTGTGAGTGATTGTGGCAACTTTGTAAATAGAGGAAGAATGAGAACGAAACAACAATTTGAGAAGCATAAAGAAGTTAGTGGAATTTCAGGTAATAAATCAGAATTGAAAAGATATTTTGCGGAAGATATTGAGCCAAATAGTGATAACTTTGATATATTAATATGGTGGAAATTTAATGAGCCGAGATTTCCTATTCTCGCGAAGATGGTTCATGAAGTGTTAGCCATTCCCATTTCACGTGTCGCATCAGAATGTTCATTCAGCACAGGAGGTCGTGTTCTTAATCCCTTTAGGAGTTCATTAACTTCTAAAATTGTGCAATCTCTTATTTGTGTTCAAGATTGACTTAGAAGTGAGTCTTTTCCAATCAATATTGAGGAAGATTTAGAGTATCTTGAACAACTTGAACTTGGTAAGAATTTGATATTTGTATTAACTATATTGAAAATAATTTTGTCAATTGTGTTTCTTAACAACTAACAAATTCTTTCATATTTTTTTTTGATTTTGCTTGTAGTGAGACTGAATCTAGTATAATTGATATATAGTTGCAGCTTGTAAGTTCAACTATCAACTAGTGATGTATGGTAACGAGTAAGTAAAGAACTTATTTACATAACTTGCTTGATAGTTTTATATATTCTATTATGAAATGTAGATCATTTGTCTAAAGAGTTCTATTTTCTCACAGGTCCATTAATGTTTTGTTATTTTCTTGGTTGCTATCTGCTAGAACTTGGGAGCTATTGCAATGGAGGTTTCAACGATGTTTTGTTAGCTTTCTAAGTCTCTTTGTTGCTGCAAGTTGCAATCAGCCAAATAATGATGACTTTAGTTTGTAACTAACCCTATTTTAGTGATGGACACAAGTTTGTTGAACTTTCTAGTGTTGTTATCTTTACTTTTGATAGAGGTTGCAACGATGATTTGTTGATTTTCTAAATCTCTTTGTTGCTGTAAGTTGCAATGAGCCAGATAATGATGACTTTAGTTTGTAACTAACTCTATTTTAGTGATGGACACAAGTTTGTTGAACTTTCTAGTGTTGTTGTCTTGACTTTTGATAGTTTTTTTATTATTATTCTTGACCAGTTGTTAATGTTATTGCCTGTTGGATAGAGCTGGGTTATGCTCAATACGTTTATGCTTCAAATTAGCATACAGTGGGATAAAATTGTTGACCCCTTTTGGATTTTTCCATGTTTAAGTGCTTTTATTGCTTAAAGGATCAATATTCAGTATGTCATGATGACTGCTTTGCCTTTTTTTTATAATCTGGCTAGCAACTTAGAAATTCAAAGAAATGAAAAAAAAGGGATAATCTTGCTGACATCTTGTGGATTTTTCATGTTTTACTGATTGAGTCGATATCTAGTTATCACGATGGCCGCTTTACCATTTTTTGTATTAAATTTGATTAAATCAAAACCAAATCGAAATAAATCAAACCGAATTTATAATAACCGAACCAAATTGAATTTATTTCGGTTTGGTTTGATTTCACATTTGGCCAAAACGAAAATTAAAAACCGAATCGATATTTACGAACCGAATCGAACCGACCGAATGGCCAGCCCTACTCTTAATGTCGGTATTAAATAAATAAATAAATAAAAATATTTTATTTATCTCAATTAAATATAACAAAAATTGAGAAATATTTTGATTTAATTTATGTATATTGTGTAAAATAAAAAATAAAAAAATTATAATACTAACTACCGGAAGTTGGTAAAATTAAATAGTATGTAATTAAATTAATTTTCATAAAATTTTTATATAGTCACTTTCAGAAAATTAATAAATTAATATTTTCAATCAACTTTAAATAAATCGTCCTCCAAATGACAATCTTATATATGTTAAAAAATTAACTAATATAAAATACCGACTCATGAAATCGATATTTTTATTTCGTCTAATTACTTTTAATCAATGGGACATCTTGAGGTCGATCTGTTTTACACCTACAATTAATTGTTTAAAAAGGTGTAACAATTTTGTATACTTTTATGAATAAAAAGTTAGATCAATTATTCATATTTAGAGTATGAACTACGTTGATATAAAGACCAACAACAAGTAGTTACTTTTTATGCAAAATAAAGCGGAAAAACCATATTCCGATCTCAGGAGGTCAAATTTTTTCTCAAAAAAATGAATTACGAAAAAAATCGACCTCCTAATTGTCGGTATTATTTTATCAATTAAATATAAAAATAAAATAGAGAATGTAACGACCCGCTAGGTCGTTTTGAGAATTAGGGCTATTTTTACTCTTTCTGAAGAAAAAAAATTAAAGGGGGGTATTTTAACTATTGATAACTACAAGTACCTAGTTGATGAAACTTTTATTAAATAAGTAATATAGATAATAGATTAGTGGGGTTTCACGGGTTAACATACTCTTGTTCAGAAAATAAAAGGGGTGGAGGCAGAAACTTACCGTAAGCGACAAACGAGAGGAAAAACAATAAGAATTGCTCAGGTAAACGCAAGCAATTTTCATTCTTTCTCAATTCTGCATATTAAAATAGGTTGTCAGAGGGCATTAGATTGTTGTTATTATTTTATTCTTATGTTGTTATTTAAGAGTGTTTTTTTTTGTTTTCATGGGTAAGATGTAGTGTATAGTGAGTTGAGAATTTATTTATTATCACGGATTGGGATTTCTAGGGACGTTAGTGTGGTTATTAGGTGATAGTCTAATAAAATCCTAATCGCTAGACGTATTGTGAAAATCTGAAAATTTGATCTGCAAATTTCCCTCCCGTATAATTAATTTTTGCATAAGAATGAGGGGAAAAAGTGTTGAGCCAATCATTGGGCAATGATTACCAATGATTGGCATGTGACAAACAATTTGGCCAAATTGTCACTTGTACAGAATGATAATTAGGAGGAAAACGTTGCAGGCTTGCGACGTTGTGCATCGTTAATGGGTGGAATTATTCTTATTATATTCATTTACAAAATTAATTTACTAGTTTGATATATTGAGATAGGTAATTAATTATTGGATATATATTATATGATCTAAACTTGAATTTTAGTGTATTTAAGAAATTAAGGTTAAATTCTTGGCTTGAAATTTAACAAATTGGCATATAAATTATATCAAGATTTGACGTTTGATTAGAGATATGAGTGAGTTTAGGGTCTATGATATACCTATAATAATTTGAATGTCCACAAACTCGCTTACTTATGAATATTGCATCATTGGTAGATCGTGAACATTACGGAACTTTGCAAAAAGGGAAGGAACTATCTTAAAGATTCGTGACACGAATTCGACACTTGAGGTATGTTAAGGCTTGTTAGACTCGTTGAAGGACGTTTTCCTAATTAAAGATTAAAAATAAAAATAGACAAAGGGGTAAGGGGGAAATATGGTGGTCTCGTATCAATGGTGTGACGAGCATTGGTACGAGTACCGGTGTTATAAAACGGAAAATTAATATTATAGAATGTGGATTGAAATTTGAGAATGCCAAAGCATATGGGCATTAACTGATATATTATTGACTTGAATTCCTTGTGTGATTGTGTTTTATTTATTTCACCCGTATAGTTGTGATAATTGAGGTGGTTATGTATTATATTCATATTGATTGATTGAGATGCATCATCATCCCCTCTATTGAAACAATATTGTGCATATGCATAGAGATGAGACTGAGTATAAGTTGGACACGTGGAGATCGTTCGTGCTGGGGATGGTGAGATGTTATGATTGTAATTTGGGCATGTGGAGACCGTCCGTGCGAAAATTGTTTGATATTATGATAGTGCGTTGAGATCGTCCGCACAGACACGTGGAGATCGTCCGTGTCGGTATATGGACCTCGCGAGTCCCCCATGGGTCATGAACTCTCGATGTATTTCTGAGGTGTATCATGTATATACGGTTGAGTGAGTACTGGGTATTCTGAGACATATCATTACATGACATCATATTGCATTGCATTTCATCCCATCATTCATTCTTGATGACTATATGTTTCGTTTGGTGTTTGGTTTCTTTATTGATGAAACTTAAATAGTAAGTGTAATATATATATATATACTTGTACAATCTAAGAATTTATTTTCTTATATAACTTCCGTCACTACTTCTTCGTTGTCGGTCAATGAGACATACTGGATACAGGTGGTTTTGTACTCATACTACGCTTGTTGCACTCTTTGTGGTGCAGATTCGATTTCGAGTAGAAGCACATCTCGTGGAGCAATTTGAGTCCGAGCTTGGAGTTGTGGTGAGCTGCTTGGCTGTTCCGTGGCCCACACCTCCCTCTATCTTTTATTTATTCTGTTATTAGTATTCAAACCGGATATCCCTTATGTTAGATTTGTCATTTAGTTTCAGACTTGCATCGAATTTTAGAAGCTCTTGTACTTAAGACACCAATTCTTGGGGTGATATATTTTATCTTCCGCATTTCGTACTTATAAGGAACTCAATGTTGGAGATTCTTGCTAAGCGTTGGTCTTTTTTACTCATTTGCTGGTTTAGTTGGGTTAATATGTTGGGTTGGCTTACCTATTGGTTGGGAACATAGGTGCCATCACGACTTGCAAAAATTTTGATCGTGACAAATTTGGTATCGGAGCGCTAGGTTCATCGGTCTCAAAAGTACAAGAGCAATGTCTAGTAGAGTCTTGCGGATCACTATGAAGACGTCCATACCTATCTTCGAGAGGCTATAGGATATTTAGGAAATATTTTGTTCTTTTATTCCTTATCGTGCACACTTGACCTTGTAGAAATTATAATCTTGATTTCTCATTCTCTCTCAGATGGCGAGGAATCGTACATCGGCAAGTGGTGGTCAGGATCCTATTCCTGCGCCTGCTTCTGGGAACACTGTCCGAGGTAGAGGTAGGAGACGAGCTCGAGGTCGGGGTAGGGGCCGTGTTGCAGCACCTGTGGATGTTCAAGTACCAGTAGCTACTCAGGGTCGTGATAGGACCGTACCTCCTGATGCAGAGGTTATTCATGGGGATGTGCAAGATCGTGTCGAGGGGGATGGGCCAGCTCAAGCTCCAACCAATACTATTGTCCCCCCAGTGCTTCAAGATACCTTGGCTCGTATGTTAGGAATCCTAGAGGGGATGGCCCAGGCAGGATCTTTACCTGTCACTTCTGATGGCTCACAGACCCGTGTTGGAGGTCAAACTCCAGATCCGATAGTTGCTCCAAATTCTCAAACTCCCAGGACTTAGCTAGCTGCCACTGTAGCTCCTTGTTTGGATAGTATGGAGTTTCCAGATATGACATCACATTTGGTGAACATGCCTTCTATGACTATTGATGAGCAAAAGATGTTTGGGAGGTTCAGACTAATGAATCCTCCTACTTATACTGGTGACTTAGCTGAGGATGCATATGAATTCATAGTTAGTTGTCATAAGAGGTTGCATAATCTTGGATTAGTGGAGTCTCATGGAGTTGACTACACAGCGTTTCAGATGACTGGCTCTGCTAAGCAGTGGTGGAGGGATTATATTAGTAGTAGGCCAGCTGGATCCCATCCACTATCCTGGACTGAGTTTACTCAGGTATTTCTATCCAAATTTGTTCCACGCAGTGAGAGGGAGCGCAAGAGGGCCGAGTTTGAGGGTTTGCAGCAAAATGGTATGTCAGTTGCAGAGTATGAGGGTAAATTTCATGCCTTGGCTAGGCATGCTTCGATGATACTTCCCACAGAGGCTGAGAGAGTGAGGAGGTTTGTTAAGGGGTTGATTATTCCGATCCGTCTAGGAGTTTCTCAGGTTGCTGCTTCTGGTGTTCCATTCCAGAAAGTGGTAGATGCTGCTAAGGAGTTGGAGATGATTCGACGTGAGGGATTTGAGCAGCGAGAGGGCAAGAGGACTCGTTATTCAGGTGATTATAGTGGTGCTCCACCTAGGAGTCGGGGTTACTTGGGCAGAGGTTATCACCCTCAGTCCAGCAGACCCATTCATGCTGCTATACCAGCGTCTGAGGCTGGTTACGTTGGGCATAACTCTTCTAGATTGGTACATACTTCGCAGGGTTCATCTTCTAGACCTGTAGTTCGTGGAGGGCATTCTGGTCATTCCGGTTCCTCTCATCAGCTGGTGTCTCGTAGGGGTTGCTTTGAGTGTGGTGATATAGGACACTTTGTGAGAGACTGCCCTAGGACCAGACGTGGAGGCTTACATCAGGGTTCTCAGGTTTCGACTTCCAGGGCTGCACAACCTCCAGCTAGGGGTGGTGCACAGAATGGTAGAGGTGGTTCTCATTCAGGTAGAGGTGGTTCTCCTTCTGGTCGAGGTGGTGGTTGTGGAGGTTCACAATCTGATGGAGGTCGTTCTCACTGTTATGCTTTTCCAAGTAGGCCAAAGGCTGAAGCCTCAGATGCTGTTATCACAGGTATTATTCCGGTTTGTCATCGACCAGCTACTGTATTATTTGATCCAGGCTCTACTTATTCTTATGTGTCCACATATTTTGCTCCTAGTCTGGATATATTGTGTGAGTCTCTTGATTTGCCGATACGTGTTTCTACTCCTGTCGGGGATTCTGTAGTTGTAGATCAAGTGTATCGTTTATGTACTGTTACTTTGATGGGGTATGACACTCATGCAGATTTAAAGGTCTTAGAAATGATAGATTTTGATGTAATTCTTGGTATGGATTGGTTATCTTCTTACCACGCAATTTTAAATTGTCATGCCAAGACCATCACTTTAGCTATGCCTAGAATTCCTATAGTAGAATGGAGAGGTACTCTTAGTCATCCTTCTAAGGGTGTGATATCATTCCTTAAGGCTCGTCAGTTGGTACAGAGAGGATGTTTGGCGTACTTGGCCCACATTCGAGATACTAGTATTGAGACTCCTATGCTTGAGTCTATTCCAGTAGTGAGTGAATTTTCAGAAGTATTTCCGACCGATTTGCCAGGTCTTCCACCAGATCGAGATATTGATTTTTGTATTGATGTGGAGCCAGGCACTCTGCCTATTTCCATTCCTCTTTATCGTATGGCACCAGCTGAATTGAAAAAGTTGAAGGAGCAGCTGCAAGATTTGTTGAGCAAAGGTTTTATTAGACCAAGTGTATCTCCTTGGGGTGCTCCAGTGTTATTTGTGAAGAAGAAAGATGGATCTATGCGTATGTGTTTTGACTATCGGCAGTTGAACAAGGTAACCATCAGAAATAAGTATCTGATACCTCATATTGATGATTTATTTGATCAGTTGCAGGGTGCTTCAGTTTTCTCCAAAATTGACTTGAGATCTGGCTATCATCAGCTGAAGGTTAGGGCGGAGGATATCCCTAAGACGACTTTTCGAACACGTTATGGTCATTACGAGTTTTTAGTGATGTCTTTCGGACTGACTAATGCCCCAGCAGCTTTTATGAACTTGATGAATGGATTGTTTAGACCGTATTTAGATTCCTTTGTTATTGTCTTCATAGATGATATATTGATATACTCACGCACTAAGGAGGAACATGAGCATCATTTGAGGATTGTTCTTCGGATTCTAAAGGAGAAGAAGCTTTATGCAAAGTTTTCAAAGTGTGAGTTTTGGCTTAGTTCGGTAGCATTCTTGGGACATGTAGTGTCCAAGGAGGGTATCATGGTGGATCCTAAGAAGATTGAGGCGGTTAGAAATTGGGTCAGACCTACTTCAGTTACTGAGATTCGGAGTTTCTTTGGCCTTGCAGGTTATTTTCGACGGTTTGTTGAGGGTTTCTCATCCATTGCATCTCCATTAACTAGATTGACACAGAAGGAGGTGACTTTTCAGTGGTCTGACGAATGTGAGGTTAGTTTCCAAAAGCTCAAGACTTTATTGACTACTGCTCCGATTTTGACCCTACCCGTGGAGGGAAAGGGTTTTGTCGTATATTGTGATGCTTCTCGGGTTGGTCTTGGTTGTGTGTTGATGCAGAAGGGAAGGGTGATAGCTTATGCTTCGAGGCAGTTAAAGGTTCATGAGAAGAACTACCCTATTCATGATTTAGAGTTGGCGGCTGCAGTGTTTGCATTAAAGATTTGGAGGCATTATCTTTATGTTGTGCATTGTGAGGTGTTCATGGATCATCGTAGTCTCCAGTATATATTCAATCAGAGGGATCTAAATTTGAGGCAGAGGAGATGGTTGGAGTTGCTCAAAGACTACGATAAGACTATTCTTTATCACCCAGGCAAAGCAAATGTTGTAGCAGATGCCTTGAGTCAGAAGGCGGTAAGTATGGGTAGCCTAGCCATGTTACAGGTTGGCGAGCGTCCCCTAGCTAGGGATGTCCAATCCCTGGCCAATAGCTTTGTGAGACTTGATATTTTAGAATCTGGTAAGGTATTGGCTTATATGGAGGCTAGGTCATCCTTGTTGGAGCAGATTCGAGCTAAACAGTTTGATGATGGTGATTTATGTAAGATTAGGGACAAGGTTTTAAAAGGAGAAGCCAAGGCTGCAATTCTTGATAGTGAGGGAGTTTTGAGGATTAAGGGTCGTATATGTGTTCCTCGTACAGGTGATTTGACTAGATTGATCATGGAGGAGGCTCATAGTTCGAGGTACTCTATTCATCCGGGGGCTACTAAGATGTATCGTGACCTGAAGCAATATTATTGGTGGTGTCGTATGAAGAGGGACATAGTAGATTTTGTATCCCAGTGTCTGAATTGTCAGCAAGTGAAGTATGAACACCAAAAGCCTGGAGGTGTGACACAGAGGGTGCCTATACCTGAGTGGAAGTGGGAGCGTATTGCTATGGACTTTGTGGTAGGATTGCCATGTACTTTGGGTAAGTTTGATGCTATATGGGTCATTGTGGATCGACTGACTAAGTCTGCACACTTTGTACCAGTTCAGACGACCTATAATCCAGAGAAGTTAGCCAAAATCTATATTCGAGAGATAGTTCGTTTGCATGGGGTTCCTATTTCTATTATTTCAGATCGTGGCACTCAATTTACATCTCATTTCTGGCAGTCTATGCAGAAAGAGTTGGGCACTCGGGTGGATCTTAGTACAGCCTTTCACCCTCAGACTGATGGTCAGTCTGAGCGGACTATTCAGGTTCTTGAGGACATGTTGCGGGCGTGTGTGATTGACTTTGGTGGTCAGTGGGATCAGTTCTTGCCTTTAGCAGAGTTTGCTTACAATAATAGTTATCATTCGAGCATTGAGATGGCACCATTCGAGGCTCTGTATGGTAGGAGATGTCGATCTCCAATCGGCTGGTTTGATGCATTTGAGGTTAGACCATGGGGTACAGATTTGTTGAGGAGTCCTTGGATAAGGTCAAGTTGATCCAAGATAGACTTCTCATGGCTCAAAACAGGCAAAAGAGTTATGCAGATCGAAAGATTCGTGATTTAGAGTTTATGGTTGGAGAGAGGGTTTTATTGAAGGTTTCACCCATGAAGGGTGTGATGAGGTTTGGAAAGAAGGGCAAGTTGAGCCCAAGGTATATTGGTCCTTTCGAGATTGTTGAGCGTATTGGTGAGGTGGCGTATCAGTTGGCTTTGCCACCTGGTTTGTCAGGTGTTCATCCTGTATTTCATATATCAATGCTTAAGAAGTATCATCAGGGTGGTGATCATGTGATTCAATGGGATTCAGTGTTACTTGATCAGAATTTGACTTTTGAGGAAGAGCCGATCACCATTTTGGATAGACAAATTCGGAAGCTAAGGTCAAAGGAGATTGCTTCAGTAAAGGTTCAGTGGAAGCATCGTCCAGTGGAGGAGGCTACCCGGGAGACAGAGTCGGACATGAGGAGTAAATATCCTCATCTTTTTGATCATTCAGGTTAGCTCTTTTATTTTCCCGTTCGAGGATGAACATTTGTTTAAGTGGTAGGTGATGTAACGACCCGCTAGATCGTTTTGAGAATTAGGGCTATTTTTACTCTTTCTGAAGAAAAAAAATTAAACGGGGTTATTTTAACTATTGATAACTACAAGTACCTAGTTGATGAAACTTTTATTAAATAAGTAATATAGATAATAGATTAGTGGGGTTTCACGGTTAACATACTCTTGTTCAGAAAATAAAAGGGGTGGAGGCAGAAACCTACCGTAAGCGACAAACGAGAGGAAAAACAATAAGAATTGCTCAGGTAAACGCAAGCAATTTTCATTCTTTCTCAATTCTGCATATTAAAATAGGTTGTCAGAGGGCATTAGATTGTTGTTATTATTTTATTCTTATGTTGTTATTTAAGAGTGTTTTTTTTTGTTTTCATGGGTAAGATGTAGTGTATAGTGAGTTGAGAATTTATTTATTATCACGGATTGGGATTTCTAGGGACGTTAGTGTGGTTATTAGGTGATAGTCTAATAAAATCCTAATCGCTAGACGTATTGTGAAAATCTGGAAATTTGATCTGCAAATTTCCCTCCCGTATAATTAATTTTTG